CCTTAAAAAGAATGCAACTTCAGAATGATAAGCAGGATCAAGGGGAAGGTCGACTTTTAGTTCTTTGAAGGCTCTCCATACTTCTTTCCAGAGAGGCTGTATGAGTGTGCAATTTCACCAACAGGGAAAAGTATTCTCTTTTCTCTACACCCTCGCCAGCATCTACTACAGCTTTGAGATTTTGTGATGTGGGCTATTCTCGCTGCGGTTAGGTGATATACCAGGGTGGTTTTTTTTTTTTTTTTTTTTTTTTTTGAGACAGAGCCTCAAGCTGTCCCCCTGGGTAGAGTGCCGTGGCATTACAGCTCACAGCAACCTCCAACTCCTGGGCTCAAGCGAGTCTCCTGTCTCAGCCTCCCAAGTAGCTGGGACCACAGGCGCCCACCACAACGCCCGGCTATTTTTTGGTTGCAGCCATCATTGTTGTTTGGCGGGTCCGGGCGGGGGATTCGAACCCGCCACCTTAGGTGTATGTGGCTGGCGCCTTAGCCAGTTGAGCCACAGGTGCCGAGCCACCAGGGTGGTTTTGATTTGCATTTCTCTGATGATGAGGGACAGTGAGCATTTTTTCGTGTTTTAGTTAGACATTCATCTGTCTTCTTCAGAGAGGGTTCTGTTCATATCTCTTGCCCACTTACACATGGGATCGTTTGTTCTCTTTTGTTGATTAATTTGAATTCTCTGTAGATTCTGGTTATCAAACCTTTATCAGATTCGTGACCTGCAAATAATCTTTTCCCATTCTGAAAACTGTCTGTTTGCTTTAATTGTGTCTTTAGCTGTGCAGAAGCTTTTTATCTTAATTTCCATTCATTTATTTTTGTTGTTGTTGCAATTACCCACGGATTCTTCTTCATAAAATATTTCCCCAGGCCAATATCATTAAGATTTTTGCCCACACTGTCTTCCAGGATTGGATTCATTTCATGTCTTTGATTTAAATCTCTTGTCCATCCTGAGTTGGTTTTTATGTGGTGAGAGATGTGGGTCCAGTTTCCATTTTTTACATGTGATTATCCAGTTCTCCCAGCACCACTTATTAAATAGGGATTCTTTTCCCCAGTGTATGCTTTGGTTTGGTTTACCAAGGATCAGATGGTGATAGGAGGCTGGTTTCATCTCCAGGTTTTCTATTCTGCTCCATATGTCTATGTTTTTATTTTGTGCCAATACCATGCTGTTTTGATCATTGTGAACTTACAGTATAATCTGAAGTCAGTAAAGTGATGTCTCCAGGTTTGTTTTTATTGCCAACAATCGCCTTGGCTATACATGTTTTTTTTTCTGTTTTGATACAAAACGAAGAACTATTTTTTCCAGTCTAAAGTATGATGTTGGTATTTTAATGGGGATGGCATGAAGTCTGTAGATTGCTTTGGGGAGTATAGATAATTTTAATGATGTTGATTATTCCTAGCTGGGAGCATGGTATGTTCATCCATTTGTTAGTAACTTCTATTTCTTTTCTCAGTGTTTCATAATTCTCTCTGTAGAGACCCTTCACTTCCTTCGCTAGAACTATTCCCAGATATTTCATTTTCTTTGAAGCCACTGTGAAGGTTATTCTGTCCTTAATTTGCTTCTTAACTTGATAGCGATATATACAAAAGCTGCTGATTTGTGGACATTGGTTTTATACTCCACAACATTAATGTATTTCTTGATTACTTCTGAGAGTCTTTTGGTTGAGTCTCTGGGGTTTTCTAAGTATAATATCATTTCATCAGTAAAGAGCGAGAGTTTGACCTCCCCTGCCCTCATCCGAATGCCCTTAATGTCCTTCTCTTTTCTAATTGCATTGGCTAGCTCTTCTAGCATTAGGTCGAACAGTACTGCTGATAGTGAATGTCCTTGTCTTCTGGTGTCAGTTTTCAGTGCAAATGCTTTCAATACCATTACTAGGTATCTAACCAGAAGTAAAAAAAATCATTTTACCATAAGGACGTGTGCACCAGAATGTTAATCGTAGCTCAACTCAGAATCACCAAGATATGGAATCAACTCAAGTGCCCATCTACACATGAATGGATTAATAAACTCTGGTGTATGTATACTGTGGAATCCTATTCAGCTATAGGAAAGGTGGAGACTTTACACCTTTTGTGTTAACCTACATGGAGTTGGAGAACCTTCTACTTAGTAAAGTACCACAAGAATGGAAAGCAAGCATCCAATGTACTCAGTACTAACATGAAGCCAGTGGATGAGCGAATACATGCCCACACAAGAGAAAAAACTCAATTCAATTCAAGTTGGTGGAAGGGGGAAAAGGGAGGAGGATTGGGGAGGGGTAAGGGAGCAGGAATGAGGAGGATTGGCGTGTTCCCACCTAATGGGCACAATGTAAGGGTATATGGTACCTCTCCTGGGAGAGGGGTGAGGCTACAGCAGGGACTTTGCCCAACAAATGTAAACAATGTAACCTAACTGTAACCTCATATTAACCTGAAATTAAAAACAAAACCCAAAAACACCCCCAAACCAACATATTCAGTGAAAGAGGCCAGAGAGAAAAAGAGTACAGGGTGGCTGTTCAGAAAGCATCCAGCCATTGTTAATACTATTTATTTTCCCACATTCCATGGCTGGATTCCTTCAGGACAACCCTCCTATTTTTCTAGGAAAAACTTATCTGTGATGACAGAGGTAAAAAATGCTGGTTACGGCTGGGCGCCTATAGCTCAACCGGCTAAGGCGCCAGCCGCGTACACCTAAGGTGGCGGGTTCGAACCCCCAGCCCGGACCCGCCAAACAACAATGATGGCTGCAACCAAAAAATGGCGGGCATTGTGGCGGGCGCCTGTAGTCCCAGCTACTTGGGAGGCTGAGGCAGGAGACTCGCTTGAGCCCAGGAGTTGGAGGTTGCTGTGAGCTGTAATGCCACGGCACTCTACCCAGGGGGACAGCTTGAGGCTCTGTCTCAAAAAAAAAAAAAAAAAAAATGCTGGTTACCTGGCAGTAAGCAGAGAGTATTCACTGGAGGTCTGTTGAGGTATTAAAGATGTTACACATCTTTATCTGGGAGGTAGTTAAATAGGCGTGTGTATGTGTGTAAACATTTTTCTGAGCTAGGGATATATTTGTACATTTTTACTGTATGCATTTCATGATATAGTAATGTAGAACCAAGACTAGAATGTATAGAAACAAACTATTATTTCCCGATGTCTTGTCTTCATTTTGACAACATAAACACAGGATATATAGCCTAAAATTAATGAAAACATTACTTCTTTATTTTTAAATTAAATCATAGCTGTGTACATTAATGCAATCATGGGGTACAATGTGCTGGTTTTACATACAATTTGAATTCTTAAGTGAGTTAGAACGGGGTTGAAAGGATGGAGGAGAAGGAACTTCCCTGAATATGTCTTTTCATGTAGTTTTGATTTTCTTTGTGAAGTTGGGCTCGCTCTCTGTTGCCCAGGCTGGTTTTGCATTCAGAAATAAAATTATATCGCTAAGGTCAAAAGCAATTTTTAGAGGATAGTAGCAGAAACAGAGATGTTGGCAAGTAATGTCACTGGCTGTTTTACAATTTCCAGTCTCTCCTGGAGATAGATCGGGGCCATGTGGCTAGTACTGGCCCCAAACCTGTAAGTAGGAGCCTCTGGGCTGAAGCACGGAGGACTGATGACCCCTCCCTGGGTTCTCTTTGCCTGCTTGGGCAATCACTGAGGTCATGTCCTGAGAATGGTTGAGCCATGGGATGGATGCTTCCTGCATCTCTGAGTCTCCCTACAAAGCACAACTACTCTGAAGAGTTGACTCTGAGAGTGAGAAAGAAACCTTTTTGATTTGGAGGTTGGTTCATTACCTTGGCCCTCTGCAGAGCCTGGCCCTCACCTATTCTGACCAACATGGGGAAGATACAAAATTAAGGTGAGTCGCTGAGGGTGAGGAGGCGTAAAGGCTATATTAGGGGAATTGAAAGAGTAATAAAGGTTTTCTCTATCCTGAGAAGAAAGAGAATGGGAAAACAGAGACGGAAGAAAACTAGAGACCCTATTATTTTCCTTTATTTTAAGACAAAGAAACCGGGACCAGAGAGACAAATGTTTAGGTCAAAGGCAAATAACAAGTTAGTGGTAGAGACATGATTATAACCCTGGCTTCTGAGACTTGGAAAATAGTCTCAGGGTTGAGCTGTAACTACTTTTGAGAGCAGATGTTCAGGGTCCTTTGGGAGGTTCTTGATGGAAACAGTGGCGATTAATTTTTGCTCCCAACTCTGAAGTCACAACACAATCCCTGTCCCATTTTCACATGATTGTCCTCCCAACAAGGCAGCTCCCCATGGGAGAACTGAAATGGAATCATCAGGAAACAGCCTTTCAACAAATGGTGTTTCCCCTTTTGACTCCGTTACCTCTTACTGTTTAGATTATGTTTTAATGATGTGAGTCACTTGTGTAGACAAAATAGACGAAAAATGAAAAGCTGTTCTTATTGAGAATTGTGCGGCCCCCTTTGATATTTTCTTGTGGGCAACAAGCTCTTTCCCCCTCATATATGAAGATAAGAATAGGAGATACCTGTGGTGTGGGTTTGAATAAATGTCTAGAGGGCCCCGGGTCATTTTGCCACAGATTTGCTCCTTTGATTTGTGAAGTTTCTTTTGCGTCAGCATTGCTCAGGACTGGGTGACCAGCCACCAGCCCTGCACTCCACCTCCCCACCCTGAGGCTCTCTCTGTGGTTTCCGTAACTCCCCTTTTGTGTCCTACTCGGGCCCTACCTCCCATCCTCTCATTTGTCCATTTCTGAGCTAGTATGACCGTCACTAAGGACCAACCCTCCTGACCTCCTTTCCTATCTCTTCTCTGACCCTGGGAGATCATTGTCACATCACCAGCGCTCGGCCAATCAGGTGCCTACCTCCC